GGGTGGGGCCGGGCTTGATCAGGTTGACTACCGTAAAGTACAAGTGCCTCGTCCCATCTGAATGACTGGGCCACCTCAGACTTCACCCATGTGTTGAATCATGTCAAGCCCATCCGTCCAGAGAAAGCACTATTGGCGCGCCGAAGCACAAATTCCTCCTCAGCCTCGGCCACCACGCACCCGGGCCCTTGACACCTTCGCCATCTATAACTTTTCCCTTCCATTCATTCCTGATGAGCGGATTGGTATGCAAAAGCTTGTGGCTGCTAGGCACAGATGATATCACTTGGTGAAGCGAGTGGGAAAGTAAAGGAGTCTGTAAATCTGTCGTGGAGAATTGTTAATTACTCCCACTAGGACAAAGAGTGCTATATAAACTATATTTTGTAATAATAAAATCTAGTGGTTGGTATTTACATCAAAGCGCATTAATACTAACCTCACAATTAATGGGAGATTAGTGACGTGTATTCTACACATCCCTGTCTTTTTTTTTTTTTTTGCATCAGATCTTAATTGCGTATGCAGCTATCTAGCTATGACACCGTATCAAAGAAAAGTACAGAAAAGATGACATAATTTATAAGAAGGGCACTCATGCCTCGGATTTCATTTGCAAGTACCACTGCAAAGTTATGGTGGCTTTTTCTTCACCCCAAGTCAACCCTCATCCGTGAATACCCACCAAGGGAAACGTCTCAAAAACCCTGAGTTATCCAGATATGCCTCCATATTTCAACTTTTCTCCGGGCGAAATGTGATCTGAGATGTCTCCTTCCCAAGTGGAGTAGGTCCCCAGGCTACTCAAACTATACCAGAGAACATTACCAGGGAGCGGATCACAAAACCTTCCATCGTCGGCTTGTTTTTATAGTGTCAACTGCTCTCTCGCAAGCGAAGTCTTGGCGCGCACAAAGCTCAATTCGTAACACTCTTGCCAAAATTCGAAATTTCACGCCCGTCGAGATTGTATCCCTCTTCTGCATCATCTTGTAAATTTTTCCTGATTCCTCTCACGTCCATCCCAAAGAGCTATCTCCCAGATTTGTGCGCCACGCTTTGCTTCCTCCGTCGGGTATAAATATCGGCGTGGGCGTGTATTTGGTGACCAGCTCAGGCCAGAGAAGGTCGAAGAATGGTGTGGTCATTGAAACGAGGATGTACTTGGTCATACTTGTAGACTCGATGAGACGAAGATAGGAGTCAAACTCGTTGGGAGCGAAATAACGACGTGGAGGAGTAATTTAAATTTTTGCCTCGTGGGCCAACTTCTTTGATATTGCGAAATTTGACTGAGCTTGGCTCTGGGAGAATATTTCACTCCCAGGTTCGTAGAGGACACCGCGAACAGGTGTTCAGTCTTGCCCTCCCACTACTAGGCTTATTGCCTAGCGAGGATAGTCATGTAATTTTCACTTCGGATACTGAGATCTTTAAGCTTTGTTTTCTGTCTTTAGGAATAGTTACATTATTCTAATCACATCTCACTCTCGTCCTCTGCCAACCATAGTGACCTACCGTCACCTCTAGCCCCTCTATCTAGAACGACTCCCCGCTTTCCCAATTACCACTTCTCTAAAAATCCCTCCGCGTTCCCACGAGGCGTCCTTTCTCAGTACATCGTACGCTACGCCCTTTCCTACGCCTCGAGTCTTGCGCCTAGTGAACCTGCGCCTGACAGAGAACAAGGATCGAAAATACCAGGGCCTATTTATTTCGAATTAAAAAAGTTAAAGATGACTCTTGTAACTTTTAATGGAAGGAATTACAGATTGTACGACACGGGATTGCCCGTTATTAGTTGTCTAGGCTGACCTGCGTGCCCAGCCTTGCATCCAATCAGTGTGTGACAAAAGATTCAACCTTTTACACCGAGAAAAATCCATTGGTAATGCTGAAGGATAAAGGCTGAACACGTTTTAATGGTGTCCTCTACGAACCTGGAAGTGAAATATTCGCCCAGAGCCAAGCTCAGTCAAATTTCGCAATATCAAAGAAGTTGGCCCACGAGGCAAAAATTTAAATTACTCCTCCACGTCGTTATTTCGCTCCCAACGAGTTTGACTCCTATCTTCGTCTCATCGAGTCTACAAGTACGACCAAGTACATCCTCGTTTCAATGACCACACCATTCTTCGACCTTCTCTGGCCTGAGCTGGTCACCAAATACACGCCCACGCCGATATTTATACCCGACGGAGGAAGCAAAGCGTGGCGCACAAATCTGGGAGATAGCTCTTTGGGATGGACGTGAGAGGAATCAGGAAAAATTTACAAGATGATGCAGAAGAGGGATACAATCTCGACGGGCGTGAAATTTCGAATTTTGGCAAGAGTGTTACGAATTGAGCTTTATGCGCGCCAAGACTTCGCTTGCGAGAGAGCAGTTGACACTATAAAAACAAGCCGACGATGGAAGGTTTTGTGATCCGCTCCCTGGTAATGTTCTCTGGTATAGTTTGAGTAGCCTGGGGACCTACTCCACTTGGGAAGGAGACATCTCAGATCACATTTCGCCCGGAGAAAAGTTGAAATATGGAGGCATATCTGGATAACTCAGGGTTTTTGAGACGTTTCCCTTGGTGGGTATTCACGGATGAGGGTTGACTTGGGGTGAAGAAAAAGCCACCATAACTTTGCAGTGGTACTTGCAAATGAAATCCGAGGCATGAGTGCCCTTCTTATAAATTATGTCATCTTTTCTGTACTTTTCTTTGATACGGTGTCATAGCTAGATAGCTGCATACGCAATTAAGATCTGATGCAAAAAAAAAAGCCTAGTAGTGCTAAACAAGGCACCCATAAATCCTGCCTGAGGCACTTATCCAGAATCCTTACATTCTTGCTTATATAAATCAAGATTGAGGCGTTTTACTGTAAGGACAAAAATTATAGTCTCATTTTAACTATAGGTGTCCTTTTCCTGGATTGCACTTGATAGAGCCTTCTCAGTCGTTTAGCCCTTCTACCCTCTTCCTTTCTCAAAGCTTGGGTCTCCCAGTCACTTTGCCAGGCTTTAAGAGTCAGTTCCTTTGTCATCTACTTAAGGTAAGTAATAGTTGTAAACTTATCCCTTTTATTGACATTTTTCATGGCTCAACTTTTTGCCAGATTGTCTGTTAGCTTATTCCCAATAATTCTTTCATTGCCTGGATACCATTGTAGATGAACTTGATACTTATTGCTTTCTATCCTGATCTGGTATAAGATGAAGTTGTCAGCGTTACTGACCCTCTGAATTGCTGTTTGGCTGTCTGAGAAGATCCAGATCTTTACAATGTCCCTAGGATATGATGTATCTCGGTACCTGAGATTGTCATAGTATGTCCAAGATTGTAAGATAAACATTTAACCTGTCTTATGAATGGTAAGTATACCACAAACCTAAGACTACTTGTAGTAGCTTGTGAAAGGGACCCATCTATGTAAACAATTGATGCATGAGATATAATGGCTTAAAGAAGTTTGTTGTGCTCATCCCTTGCTATACGCGATCCATGGGTTAGGGCCTGTCTTACTGACCACGTTAAATAGTAGTCTAGTTTTATAGAAGGCTAATCCATACATTGGAATTTCTAGTATGCTCAGTATGTTTGACCTCGGTAGTCATTTGAATGAATATGCTCTACAACTTCAAAACAGTGGGGATTTCATTCGCTTTGTATCTAGTTCAATTCCCCCAATGATATACTTTGAACCAGTAGCATACATTTTGTATATGTTACGGGATAGTGCCTTAACCTCCCACTTTAGAAAGGTGTGTGGGTAGAGAAGGGAACCCAGAAATTCATTATAGACCTAAACCCGTGATTTTGATTGCTGATTTCTTGCACTTATACCGCTTGTGAGTATTCCTCTTTAATGTCAGGTCAGTCAAAAGCGGTACTTTAGCCCCAGTCTTTCTGCTTGTAGATATCCTGAAATAAGACACACATCTCTTCTACGATAGCTTGGATTTACTGTAATAACTTTCGAATTTTCCCATACCTACGCTTGGACTATATCAGGGGAATTTAGGTCAAGAAACACCGGCTGGAAAAGAGCAGGTTCTCTTGTGGATTTCTGAATTTCATCATAGACTGTCGGAATGATTCCTCTAGATGGAGTTATTTTGAGTCGGTGGTTGTTGCATTGCATTGGCTAGTTCTCTTTATGTGTGGATTCTGACATTCGGATAATGCTTTATCCGAATGTAGGTTAGATAGCAATTCCATAGCATCAACTCAGAAGAACACGAATGAACAATTGATGCGCGTCTCTTCTGAACGATAGTTAGAATTACTTACACAAGTACTCTCATAACTATAAGTGAACTAAGAGATTTTTAGTATATGAGCTTTGTCATACCAATATAGACCTTATTGAATAGAAAATAAATTATTATTTGAAGTTAGAACAATTGGGACTATCAAGTAGGCCAAGTTATTGATACACACGTGACTTCGAACTCTATTTATTTTCATTTCTGTAATTAATTGAATCAATGCGCCCTACGACCTCAATGATAGAGGGGTCATTATTACCTTAATAATTATTTAAATTTCAATACTGTGAAGCTATAATTGATCTGTAATAGCATTTTAACATTCTTGTGCCAAAGAACTCGTCTCGAAATTTCATCGTGTGCAAAAGTTTGTCTGGCCTTCAAAGAACTATGATAATGGTGTATTTTAGACTCCGAAATATAAAAAATTGTGAGCTTTACCTCACCAGCCGACCGCCATAAAAGCTTAATTATCAAGGACGCGTGCTTTCTAAAAGGCTCACAAGAGTCTGCATACCTATTTTTACAACTTAGGTATTTTAAATAAACAAGGGGTTCATATTTATTACAAAAGCCTCTTGCGAGAGCAGTTAATTGGGAACTTTTAATCCACCTGGAATGTTCGTCTAAAACAAATATTTAATCTCGCTATTTGCAAGGAATCACCGATCCTTGATCTCAAATTTCGGGAATATAAACCTCATTGACGTAATTTCACTGTTACTTCTTTTAACTGTTATTTATTTTCATTTTTGTCAATGTCGGCCATTCCACTTATTTCGGTTTCGCTATGAAGGCATTCAGCTTTTCTAGTTCCGTTGGTACTAGAGATCTTAGTCTCTGAAGTCTCTGTTGGAGAATCGCCTGGAGTGGTTACAAACTCCGGCTCTAAGAATACAACTGTCTTTGAAACAGAGATCGCCTTAGACTCTTCTGCAATCAAATCCCCGTCCCAAGGTTTACATTCCCTGACTTCTTTCCCGCACCTTAGACAATTCCATCCATCCTCTTGTTCAGCTTCTAATACAGTGGCCAAGCATACAAAGCAATAAAGACACCCACAAGGAATACTTTCGTAAGGGTTTGTTATGTCTTGTTGATCTGATGAATGATTCATTATCATCGCATCATTATTTGACGAAGAAATAGGGTTCCGACTCTGGTAGCAAATCGCACAAGTCCGCTCAGGCAAGAAGCCAAGTTCTCCGGAAGTAACAAGACTTTCATCTTCTACCCCATACATGATCATAGATTTAGTCTTCTTCCATGTCCTTGAAATCCATCTTTTCCATCTACTTATCCCAACTAAAGGAAGGAGAAACAGTAAAAATTCTGTTATAGCGTGCCATACGAGTTGTCGATTTAAATATTCAAATGATACCTGGCGACTAGCTTGATTGTTTTTAGGTACTAGGCGTAACTTTAATATCCTGTCTAGCAGTGTCCTGTATCTTCCATTGACAAGAAATACCAAAAAACTTATGAATGCAACCACGGAGTGCACAGTATCTAGGGTTTGAATTAGTTTTAGAATTTTCGCTACCGTTCGGTTTGACGAGTTGTATTCTTCATTAATTCTTAAGAGCCATCCCTCCCACCGCGTCCAGGCATAACTTCCCCCAACACTTAAAACGCCGTATGCAAGCTTCTGCAGCTTACTGGGTACTTTCAAAGCATCATCTTTGAGCCGTGCGTCTGAATACCGTAAATTTTGCAATGCTGCCCCATATGTAGTGTTGTGATCCCAAATAGTGAGTTTGAACAGTATAGACCTTAGTACAAGTACAATCTCCGCTCCCCAGTCATTTTGAATATGCGATCCAAAATACTTAAAGGCGTCACCGACCTGAATTTTCAAAAGTCCTAGGAGTTCTTCGTCGAGTAGTTCTGCGTCGACTTGGCCGACACGAAAAGAAGGGTTGGTTCCATCGCGACTACGTATCTGGTTCCAAATTGATACTGTGCTAGATTTTAGTTCGTGAATTGGAATTGGAAGCCGTGAAAGCCGAGTGAAGTCGTGTTGCATGTAGCTTTTAGCTGCAGAGAGGCGCTCTTGACGTGAGATTTCTCCAGCCGCTCGCCGGGCAGCTATGCGCTGTTGCGCACGAATGAATTCATGCGTTTTCATTCTGAAATTTATACGTATCTTTTGGGACACGGCCTAGATGTGTTGATTTAGTATGATAATTATTTTGGCATCTTCTTTTGTAATATAGATCGGAATGAAGGGAAGTTGGTATTACGCTCCGCACCTTTATAAGCTTTTTTGGGCTGCCAAAGGTAAGCCCCAAGCACTACATTCTGTTGGAAGACATTAATTATGAAAAGAGGCCCTTTTGGGTAGATTTAGTGAAATGCGTCAATGGGCTTTGTAAGTACTGCAACAGTTAGCACGTACAAGGTTTGGGCATGGACTGACGGCGGGTGGGGCCAATAGTTAATCCGGTGGCGACTCTATTTCAATTTTCGTGTCACAACACTGCACATCGACTTGTAAGTACACGTGTTTGCGTAAATGCTCACAGGTTTCGAATCCAAAAAGGCTTGGGTGGCAAGCCAGGGCCTGTTAGACTTGGTAGACCACACTTAGTCTCACTGTGCACAACAGAATGGTAAGCCAGCTCTCTGGAATAAAAGGTAGCAAAAAGCTGGGATGAGCAATTAAATTTTTACATGAGGTCAACGAACAAATTACTATGAAATTAAAGATTGAACACCTATCCGTGGTGTGCTCTCCGAACCTCGGAGTGAACTGCTCTCCCAGAGCCATGTTCAGTCAAATTTCCCAATACCGAACAAGTTGGTCCACGAGTCAATGATTCAAAATACTTCACCATGTCAGTCTTTCACCCCAACTATATCTGTTCCCGCATTAACCTTATCAAGTTTACAAGTACGACCTAGTACATCCTCATTTCGATGACCACACCATTCTTCAGCTTTAACCATCCTTAGTTGGCCCCCAAATACACGCCCACGTTGATATACGTGGGCGTGTATTTGGGGGCCTACACTCTAGGGTAGTAGTGAGAGATATTAAGACAATCTCAAAAAATGACACAGGATGGATACAATCTCGACGGTTGTGAGATTTCGATTTTCGGCAAGGATATTTACGTATTGAACAGTATGTGCGCACCAATACTTCAACTGAGAGAGTGCAGCTGCACTATGGATACAAGTGAGCGATGGAAGTTGCCGTGATCCACCTGCTTGTGGTGATATCCGGTACAGTTTGAGTAATCTTATCACCTACTCCACTTTGCAAAGAGACGCTATAGATCAAATTTGGCGCGAAGACAGCTCAATGAACGATGGATGCATGTATGGATAACTCATGGTTATCGAGACATATTCCTTGGTGGGTGTTCCCGGATGAGGGTTAACTTGGGATGAAGAAAAAGCCGCCACAACTTTGCACATATACATGCAAATGAAATCCGAGGCATGAATGCTCTAGTTTTAAATTGAGACACCTATAGCGTACTCATTCTCTGACATGGAGTCATAGCTAGTTAGCTGCACACGCAATTAAAACTTGATACAAAAAACATATCTCATTGCTTAAAATAAAATTATGAGTAACTCAATTAATAGCAACTGCGAAGATCTTGCATAGATCCGAAAGATTCCTTCATTATGCATGTAAGAAACTGTGCTACATGATCAGGGAAATTCTTTCGTCAGAAATATTACGACGCCAGTAATTTCAGTGAAAGACCGGTGACATCAAATTGTAGGTTTTCTCTTTGTACGCTTAAGAAGCTAATCAAAACTTCGCCAGTGAAATCTAAAAATGATTTACTGGCGACCTTTATAACATCATTTAACGTATAATTACCTACCCAATGTGATATATGATCAGTACAAAGTAAACACACTAGATGACTCATCAAAATTCAGGCGTTCATCCTCCGTGTCTCATTTGCAATTATCGTCATGAGCTATGTCTATGTATGCAGAACATTTGACCCTCTTCAGTGAGTGCCCATCAAAGGAAGCGCTTGAAACCCAGGGGTATTCAAGCATTCGTCCGCCATATATCTACTTCAGCGCAAATTGGCGAATTGGTGGTTTTATCAGATGAAAGTGTTAAGAAGTTTCTTATTCAATATATTAAATGAATTCAGTAACTATATTTGCTTGAGGATTGACGGCCTGTCCATTCAAATAAACTTCATTCCTTATCAGACTAAGTCGGGCAACCGACAGCTAGAGTAAACCAAACTTTGCGAACGTACCATAATATTCAAGCTCCGATTTTTCACGTAACCCTCATTCCTCACACCGTAGCGCAAGAACTCCTTCCAAATTGTGACATCTTATCCATGATACCTTGTTATGGCGTCGTTTCTTGAGTTTTCCATCCTTTTTTGGCACGAACGTGTGACCTAGTGGCTCCTAAACGTGCCGTTTCCTTGCAGTCATTCCAGAATTGAACTCCAATGTCAAAATTTGAACTTGGTATGTTCTCTTGGGCTCCTTCGAGTAAATTTATCCCGTTCTCATTTTAAACCTTATTAAAATGTGAATTTATGGGTGGTAGAATAAAATAAAGTTTGTAAAGCTAGCCTACCATTTTTCAACTTAGAAAAACACGAAGAGGTAAGGAATCAAAAGGAAAGTCAAACATGAAAGTATGATCCTTTCACAGGCTGAGTTCTATCACTTAATCCAGTATTGATGGTGATGAGGTTTTGTTAAACATGTGTGCTGTGGTCAAAATTTTTACGGACAAATCTCTCGACCAGATATTGGCAGCTCCTTCAAGTCATCTATCAAATTGGTATTAATTCATTGTTAATCGCGACTGAACCTCCTCTCGGATTAAGTGAATGAACTCCAGATTTGAAAAGTATCTCACTTGTATTTGTTCAGCTTTCTTACTGCCTGTGAGCGTCCTAATTAGTATCAGTTTAGGAGCGTTCGATGAGAAAATTATTCATCCAAAGGTGATTGTCTCAAGAATTTGCTTGTCAATAGAAATCAATTGCATATCTTTAATGATACAAAAGGTCCTACACTGCCGACCGATGAATGGAGATTAGGAAATGTTCCTAATATCACCTGACCATAATTTTAATCAGCCTTACATATGTTTAGTTACCCACTTGTTGTTGACGCCTTGTCCGCAACGCAACCCAACGACGATGCAGTCCAATATTCCATTCTCCCCGGAACTATCCAAAACTGTCTCTCTGACCAAACACTAATCAATGGTAACAGGGACTTGACCAGCTGGCTCAAGAAAAAACACCCTAAATTAAATAGTCAGAGAATTCTCAACTCATCACCCAAGACAAAACGACAAAAAAATACACGTCTGACAATTTTTTCGAAATGGTGGAATTTGCATCCTACGACGAGATTGACTGGCAACAGGCAGAAGAGGATGATAACAATGCCATTGAGCAACTGCTCAAGGGCGCAGAGGAAGGGGGACCTATTCTACATGATGATCGTGAGCTTGAGTTGGGAGAAAAAGCGGAAAATGCAGAAGATTATGAAGATATTGGAGATGACGATCTTCCGGAGGAAGAAGAGCCGACAATTAAGAAGGAACCTGTTGAGACCAATCTGGAAGATATAGACTTCGACGAAGATGATTTGTTTGGTGATGGCGGGCGGGCTAGCTCTCCTTTTGACAATAACTTCGAAGCGCAGGATATAGAGCTCACTACTTGCACTGGGGAGTCTAGAAAAATAGACCCAGATACTGTCTTGCCTACATTGGAGCCTGAGCCAATAATCGACTTACGCGAGCTAAATTTCCCCTCAACCTACGAAGCTGATGATGATATCATAGTAACAGACGACGTTGAAGAGGTTAGAAAACTTGTTCAAGAAAAATTTCCTACCTTCGATGCTGATGGAATTCTTAATTGGAACGAACTTCTACCAACTAAGGGTGCTTTCTGGACACCACAAGAGCCTCTTAAGCCGCCTAAACCGACAAATCCTACCAAAATTAGTCTTGATCTCGCAGAAGACCAGGAAAAGTTGTTTCGGGGGTCTGCTCCAACTATTGGTGATAAATTTAAACGTGCTGTTGATATCAGCGCAAAAGGCATAGTAACGGTTGAAAGTGAATCTGTTGAACAAGAAGAAAGCGAGGACGAGTTTGACTTCTCACCACTCACTATTAGCGATAAAGTTGGTGGCTTTACTTTACGTGATCTTGAATTTATTTGTTCAGACTTTGAGAAGGCTATCAATGTAGCTTGTGCCCCCGAACCAGTAGAAGAAGAAGAGGAGCCTATGGACGAGTGGGAAAAAGAAATACTGGGTCATTCCTCAAAACGAAAGAAAAAAGTTAATGAAATTGAGAAAGAATTTATTATTGAACCCAGATATGCTGTTCCATCATTTGATAATTTCGAGGCAATGACAGCCCAGGTGGCTAAACGGGTCATAATAGATCTCAATGACCCATATTTGCTTATTGATATGCAGGAATCCAATCCTCAATCAAAGCGTCGGCGACTCGGTCCCGGTAACTATTCACGGAATGGAAATGATAGCTTCACCTCTAGGCTCACCTCTAGGTTTAACTACTCAAATGACGAAGCTTATGAAGCTCTCAAAGAAAACCATCAGAATAAGGTTAGGGCCACATTAGGCCACCTCACTGTAGAACATAGTATGCCAGCGCTAAAGCTACAATGGCCGTATTACCAGGTCAAACTGTTTGTGGATCAAGCTAGATCATTTCATCGCCCTTCGCTCAAATTTAAGCGTTTTCAGGGTCAGCTCATACATTTCTCAAAGCCTGGAATGCGAAAAAAAAAAGCCGTTAAAGGTATGCAAACTCACGAAATTTTCAAGGAGACCAAGGATTTGTCTCTAGCAGACCACTACTCAACAGCAACGCTATTTGAGTACTCAGAAGAACACCCAACTGTTTTATCTGGCTTCGGTATGGGTAATCGCATCATAAATTATTACCGTCGCAAAGACGCGGATGACTCCGAACGCCCTCAGCCTGAGGATAAGATTGGTGATACAACTGTACTTTTACCTGAGGATAGGTCGCCATTTTCTAATTTCGGTATGGTTGATCCTGGACAAACCGTGCGCACCCTTCACAATAGCATGTTTCGAGCACCTATCTTCAAACACGAAACTAAGCCTACAGACTTCTTATGCATACGTAGTAGCACTGGCATTGAGGGTACAAAATGGCACCTAAGAAATATAGATAATCTCTTCGTAGTCGGGCAACAGCTCCCTTCCATGGAGATACCCGGTCCACATTCGCGGAAAGTCACCAATGCTGCCAAAAATCGAATGAAAATGATAGCCTATCGAAAAATAAGACATAGCCCTCAACAGCACGTCAAAATTGCTGATGTCACCTCTCACATTATTGACTCAACAGATATGCAGAACCGACAAAAGCTTAAAGAATTTATGGTCTACGATAAGGTCGAAAAAGTGTGGAAAATGCCACCTGGTGATCATGTTCGAGACGAGGCCCAGATTAGATCAATGATCAAACCAGAAGACGTTTGTGTCTTGGATGCTATGCAGGTTGGGTCGAGGTATCTCGAGGACGCTGGCTACGAGGCAAAAGATGATAAAGATGTAAAAGATACGGATGTTCCGGATGGTGATACTGAGGAGAGTCTAGAGCAGAGTTTAGCTCCCTGGAGTACCACCAAAAGCTTTCTGGATGCATCAGCAGATAAAGCTATGCTGGCTCTGAAGGGTCCTGGTGATCCCTCAGGCTGTGGTCTAGCATTGAGTTTCTTAAAGACTTCCATGAAAGGTGGATTCCTACAAAATCTTGGCAAAGATAAAGGTGATGCGCATCAGAAGGCTAGAGAAGCCCTCGATCCTAGCAAAAATGGCGGACATACCTATAATGTAAAACTCCAACAAAATATATACAATAATACAATTCGTGAAATTTGGGACGCTCAGATGGCCAATCTTAGTGATCGAGCAGAATACCAATATACCAGGGAAGAAATAGAAAAGCACGATACCCCGCGGATCACTCATTTTGATGATACTGCAAGTCAGTACACCTCCATGAGCACGTCCGAAAAAATAATGCGTATTACTAGAAAATATAAAAATAAATTAGGGCATATCGAGGAGGTTACCCAAACAGTCACTGATCCTCGGATATGGAAAGCATACCAAAAACGGCGAATCGAAATTGATACAGCTGGAAAGGAGTGAGCCATTTCAATACAATTACGATTTTAAGAAAAGCTTGTAACTAACATTTAATAGCGTAACATCTTTCAGGCCTACGGGAGACCCAGAAAAAGACGAGGCCCAAAAGCGAGCGTAAGTCTAGTTGCAATTTTCTTTTTAAATTTTTATTAATAATGTTGTAGTATCAGAAAGGAATTAGCTCGACTTAACAAGAACCGAGTTAGGCGTCATGTCAGAGAGAAACAGAAGGGTAGAATCAACCCTTCACAAGCTAGCTCTCCGGGACCAACCGGATCACCTGCTCCTATTCCATCTGTTGAGAATACAACCGGAACAACGAGAAAATGTGCAAATTGCGGCCAAGCTGGCCACATCAAGACAAATAAAAAGTACCATCCCCCCTTCAAATAGTTCTATATAGCAACTAGCATTTGCCTTGCTTCTCATCACCTTCCAGTGAAATTTGAAATAGCATCAAACTGTTTTCAATCTTGCGTACATATACTGACACGCTCGCAATAGACTTTGTCCAATGTTAAACGGCACAATGGATTCAGATGACTTAGCGCCAAAAAATGGTGGCTTCGGCGCTATCTCTACACCATTATTGTCATGAAAAAACTAGCAACATCTAAGGCGAACTACATTTTCAACTAAATCTTTAACTCCTTAGGCAGTAAAGTTTTGAAATTATGCAACATTCGTTGATAATTATATATCCTTCAAAGCCTAATTCTATCAAAAAGATAAGCTTAACACGTGTACTAATAATTTCTAATCACATAATTTACTTCTGTAAGTGAACGATTCTGGCGTTTAAGGAAGAGGATCAGTCTGGCTCAAACTTGACGCAAAACATGTTAAGTTTCTTAAACTGATTGAATAGGGTAGTTTAATTACTAAAACAGGTGTTTGGGATAGCATATTAATTTTAATGATCAAAAAGACATCAAAATTGATAGTTTGAAAGAGAGAGACAAGCAGGAAGATATGGTGCTTCTAGCATATGCTTTACGTACCTCTTGTGTTCAAAGGCTTTCTCTAACTGTTACCAGAAGTCAAGTTTCAAACCGTTAAAATGAGGCTAATACATGAACTTTAAAGAATGAATCCTAGTCTTATGAGTGAAGATATAAGTCATATGTTCCCCCAAATTCAGGAAAATATTACGTGAATCAATATGATCTGGGTTGAATTATCTTAGAAAACCAGCGTCATGATATTTTTATGTGCTAACGCGAGTTACTATGAAGATAATTACTTTTTGTTCTAGATATAAACACCTCGAGGAGATACGTAGTGATATGATGGTGCCACGGTATATAATCTGGGTTCGCTACTAAGATAGATTCTGATTAGCTTGCAAATCTATGCAACCTAAATGTCACAGTTCGAATATAGAAAGCGAATGGGCATTTGTATGATTGAAAGGTAAAGCTATAATTCATCTATGTAGAAGCAAACTACCTACAAGTCTCCTCTACTACTTATACACATCCAGAGGTATCTAAATCTAGCCTACGTTTACAGTGGCAATGAAACTGACGTAAGGTTTGTTTTGCCACACGGGTAACGCTTCCGATACTCTTGGCACTATCCTTCACGTAGCCTCAGTGGCGATCTCATATCAGTTTTCGTCTGCTGATAATCCTCGGAGTGATAGATAATATAGGTTGCCTTCGATAGCCATCGAAGGCTACAGGGCTTATCGGCTCACAAGCCGTCACACTAAATCACAATACCATTAACCCAAGTTCGGTGAGGACCCACCATATTAATCAGGGTAGCCAAATACTAGACTACGAGGGCACACTTTGATAACCATTGACTTCAAATCCAACTTTTAGGAATACTCACAGATGAAAGCCGACTAATTTTTGTCGACAAACGCAATTGACCAAAGTGTTCGAAATTAGTGCAGAGCGTTAGCGCCTGGTGCGTCGAAGAAGAAATTTCAAGCGTATATCTGGCACATTCTATATATCACGAGTAAATATCTGAATACACAGTTACTTCAGCAAGCCATAGATGGGATAATTGCTGTCGTGACATGTGGTTATTTAGAGACAATCACATTGCCTATTAATAAGTAGTAGTAATATTTGTCACGGTTCGAGTGTCGATGCGGGAGCAATCAGATATACGAAGGTAGTTTATTATTTTCTCTGTGCCTATCTATACAAGTCCTACCTCAACTATTTATACACTTACTATACTATCTGGAATATTCTTCTCGCCTGTAACCAGTTTCTAGTATGTTCCCGGAGGCTGGTTTGCAGTCCTACTACTAGTTACTTGAAATTTCTAGTGACGTCCCGATTGGTCTATGAAAGAGTATTGAGTTTCGAAGATATGTACAGCACGTGATTACTGTCATGTGATACTGAATAATTACTGGCTCACTAGCCGTTACAATATTGTTGAATTGTTGTTTATTGATTTTTTAGGCAAATTTATACTAATTTGAATCTCTCTGAGTTGATTGAATTGATTGTCCTCCACCTTGAAGAATCTATCTAGGTACTATATACATCTTGAGAGTATTCTACTAATTCCAAATATAGACTGACTATTAGAATTTCCGTGCGAACTGCTCAATTCTCCGTTCCATACATGGTGCTAACATTGGCTGTGACATTATCATGGGCAATAGAAGGAATGAAACAATAAGGGAGTTGTGTGAAGGAAATTGGCCATCCGTCTAGTCACTAGTTGTAATATTTGCATGACTAAACAATTGCCCTTGACGCATCAGCCTCGTATACTCGCTTGTTAACTAGTCAACTTCAACATCATAATAATAATATATTTAAATTTAGGGTAATCTGTTTGACAAATTTACAATTAGCGCCTACAAGGTACACGGGATAAGCCCGGCCTCTGAGCCCTTGTGTGAGGGAACGAAACAATAGCATTGAAGCAGACTTGAGTTATTCCAAGTGGCAATCATTTGTATTTGGCAGCTGGAACATGCAATAAGATTAAGGTGTAGATCATTAGCAAAAGCGCTCGGACTCATGTTCCTCCTGTAAAGCAAGTTGTATATAGGTCCTCTGCACCTTGAATGTGATAGAACCAAGCTGGCTGTGATGAAATTCGATGTATTGAACTAATTAAAGAAGAAATGAAACTATTGCTACCAAAGAAGGTTACTTATAGTCCTTTCTAACTCGTCCCTTCCCTCACTATTAGATAGTCCTTTAACTAGACGTCATTTCATTCTCACTCATACATTACCTCATTCCAACTCGCACTTCATATCAGATGTCTCCTTACACGTCATTCCCATGATTTAGAAATGATGTAACCACCTTCGATCCTACTTAGGTGTCTGTCTAAGCCACAACACGGTCAACCCGTAACATTAAGCCTCTCTTTAGATCTGTAGCAAATCTTTTCATCATACGGTTTATGACCACGAAAATTCATCCCCTGACACTAAGCGTCGTTTATTGATGTCTTGGGGGGGGGGAGGAACAAATTTTGGTGAAGAACTGTGATTTTTCAAGCCATTGTGCAAGTTTTGATGCACCTGTAGGGGTCTCAAGAAAGAAGTTCAATTTGTCTGCATAGCCCCTGGGTGGTTTGAAGGGACTTGATATGATCAGTCTAAATTGCAGGAAATGTGTAGTGGACTAAAGTTCGCTGCAGCTGCAGGTATTGTGAGCGAAGTCGTGATTGAAGCGATTATAATAGGCTGCGAAACCTCCATGTCTAGAGCGAGCAGCGTATATATGAGCGGTATGATGTCGAGGTAGTGATAGCTCTACGGGGCAGCTCACAGGATATTCGATTTCCAAGTCTTAATATGACCGAGGGGCATGCTTTGCCCAATACTCTTTGTCAGCTTTTATTGATATATTCTTGACCCAAGCTTTTGCCGAGGCAAATATGAGTTGAGATGGGGACGGGGCGGCATGGCCAAAGCATCTTTCGCTGCTTTGTCTGCTAGAACGCTACCTAAGAGTCCAGAGTGGCTTGAGATCCATCGAACCCGGACTTCATCAGGAAGAGTATGGAGGAGACGCGCGCGGTATGAACATTCTTGAGCTTTGAACGCGAATTTATTGAATACGTCTTGAGAAGAGCAGGTTTGGGTTGATAGAAGCTGTCGGGCGACATCTAGGTTATCTAGTAGGACCCTTAAGTTATTTGCAAAGCATGTAGAAGGAAGATCTATTGCTATCTCTACAGCGCTTAAAGCGGCTGCAGCTTCTGCATCTAATATCTCGAGTGATGGGCTAATAGGTTTTCTTTTCTGCCAGATCATATGACCTGCTTGGAAGATTACGAAACCACCTTTGACGCAAGGTCCTGAAGCTGATGCTAGGCGGCTGCCATTGGAATATACAACTAATTCTTGTGAGTGGTTCCCCTCAGGAAGTTGATATGAGGCAGCAGTGACCCTTCTAGTCCTTGAGAACCAGCTCTCCTTTACTAACCAGGGGGGGTGACCAGAGGGTCCAAATGCTCTATAGGCGGGAGGCTTAGGGACCACCCAGAAAAGCGTGAGACGCGTCTTTATTGACTAAGGATCCAAATGTTCCGGCGGCAGAGAGGGTGCCATGGGTCGAGGCGGTGTATGCAGAATGATACTTTACGAAGTTTTGAGTCCAGCGCAATTTCTGGAGGGGAGAGACCTGCTTCTCTATATAGCGCGCTAGCTGGTGTTTTTCGGTAGACGGGGAGAATTGCTCTTGCGCTAGTTCTAACAACCTTTTGGAGGAGGGAAAGATGCCTCTTAACTAAGTTTGAGACGATTCGAGTTGGGGAGATAGCACGTGTCAGGCCTGTCTACCATGTTTCAGCTCCGTAATAAGAGATAGGTAGTACGCAAGCGGTGACTGCTTGGCATAGGAGTTTAGGGAGGCGCCACTTAATTTGTTACCAAGGCTGCGGAGCGCGTCTGCCACTTCTAAAGCTTTATTTGCAAGGATACAGACGTGCCACTTAGAAGAAATTGTTTTATCAAAAAAGACTCCCAACCATCTGGTGTATCGACGATTTGTCTTCTCAGATACGGAGAAGTTGCCATGATTGACCGAAGGAGTGTTACCCGGATTATTATCAGCTCGTTTTCGTGAAAAATGCTGAAGCTCTGCCTTAGCTGAGTCGAAAGTGATGCCCTCCTTTGTCCTCCATTCTAAAGCTTCTTTCAGTGCCTTTTTTAAGGAGATGCAATTGTCGTGAAGTGATTTTTGGGTCTCAAGGATTGCGACATCGTCAGCATACCCAAATCTCCTTGAGACGTTTCCCAACTTAAACAGAGGGGATATATAGAGCATGAAAAGGATAGGAGAGGCAGTGGAGCCTTGTGAGAGATCACAGTTGACTGACTGGATCTCCAGGAGTGTGTATTCTATTTTTCCACATGGTACAAGTATAAGTAAATAGAGGATCAAGGTCTTCCATAAGAAGAGATAGAGGGCACGTCGTGATCTGATACGAGTACGGGCTCGAAGTGGTCTTCACTAGGAAGAGATGGAATATCTAGATTGAGAATAATATTGAGAAGACGTTGCGTGAAGAAGGCAACTCGACTGGAGGCTACGCTTTATGATGTACATGCTCGTAGTTCACTGTTACGTTACCTTTCCCTACTCAGGCCTGCTAGAT